TCTGTCTATCTGTGTTTTCCATTTGGAATTGTGGCTACTGCCACGTGTACTTAAGACTGATAGAAGCTGTTCAGTATGTTACTAAAAAATGTCAAAGAAGGCCCCAGAGTGAGCAGGCAATGAGTCTCTGTCTCCAGTGCAGTGAAAGATTCGCCTGGAAAGCAGTATTTCATCTCAGGCGCGCTAAAATGATTTCCTCTCCAGGGCAGATGGCTTCGCACACGAGGATTTTCCAGCCTGCGCATGAGGGGCTCTTGGGCTCTGATTCCCCAGGGTCTGAGGCCAGGTCATCAGGCCTTGGACGGGTGGGTGGATGGAGGGAGCAGCCCTCAGGCTCCCTCAGCTGTGCGGGGTGCCCCTGGGGAGCCCCCAGGCTGGCTGAGCGTCCTCCCAGGCAGATGGTATAAGAGTTCCGCGGATGAAGATGCGGTCCCTACCTCCCCCCGAACATGCGTGTCAGCAGAATTCTTTTCTTCTTTTTATTGCCTTTGAGACACATGCTGACTTGGTCAAAATCGTTTCGGCAAGATGTGACTGATGATGTATGAAATGAAAACTACTTGCCCAGCGCTGGGAGGCCAGCGAGTGAGGGGTGCGGACACTGCCGGGGCGGGCCAGACACAATAACACCCCTCACATTTCCAGACCATCTTTCATCCAGGCGAGCTGGCCCCAGGTGTGGAGCAGACTGGGGCAGATCCGGTTACGGCCTGGGAGTCCGGCGCTGGGTGCCTGGGCTTAGGGAACCACAACTGGGGGTGGATGGGTGGGAGGCTGGCTGCTGGGTGAAATGGGATAGGCCCAGGGGAGTTCGCGAGCTCCGGATGGCATGGGGGAAGAGGCCGGGGGGACAAGGAGGGGACAGAATGCAAGGATTTTCCTTTCGCCTCATACCACTCGTCAGCTCTGTTTTCCCGCTTGCTAGCTCCTGCGCTCAATCTCTGAGAGTCAGGATAAATTTGCTTTTCTCTGCTTGGTTAAAAAGCAGACCATCGTGAAATGTTGTGTTGTTATTTTTAAACATAGGCGGCTTTCCTGTTAACATATTTTCCTTTTCATCCAGATGGTAGCTAACGTTCGTCAAGGGCTTTCTCTGTGCCCAAGGCACCTTGCAAAGTCCTGTATGTGAATTTAATGAAGTCCGAATCCTCCCAGCAACCCTAGGAGACAGGCGCTGTTAGTCCCCCCAGTATACAGATAGGGGAACTGAGGCACAGAGACGTTAAATGCTTGGTATACAACCGGCAGTGGCAGGGCTGGAGTGTGAAACCAGGCAGGTGGGCTGTTGCCTCTCACCCAAGACTTTTTCCAAATGATTGTGAAGCCTTTGCTGGTGGTGTCAGCTCTCAGAGCTGCGTCTGATGTAATCCCAGGCAGATATGCATGCATTCGTTCATTTATTCAGCAAGCAAGCAAGCAAGCATTCTCTGAGGGCCTGGTACCATCTTGGGGTACTTCTTTGGGGAGAAAGCAGGAAAAATAAAGAGCCCACCCTTGCCCCAGCATGGATCGCGGGAAAGATATGGCTAAACTCGGGGCTGTGGGAGTTCAGAGAGAACCTTATCTCTTCCGGATCTTGGATTTTGATGGCAAGTTGTCTCTTCATCTTGCATGAGAAAAGATGGCGTCCCAGAGGAAGGGTGATGGAGTGAGGTGTCTGGGAGATGCTTAGGCTGGCACCAGTACGGTCAGCACTCAGTCCACCATGCTCTTAGGTACTGGCTGTGCTTATTACTGTTCATTCAGTGGGTACTTACTGAGCACCTGCTCTGCGCCAGGCTCAGGTGGGCTCAGGTGAGATGCACAGAAAGGTAGACTATAATCCTTCGTCAGGCCTTCCCATGGCTGAGGGGGTCAGGGCAGATGCTGACCAGCAGTTGTTTTCCTGTGTAAATTGTTAGCACCAATACCTGCTGCCCCCACTGCAGCCTCCCTTGCTGGTTAAAATCTCCCCCAGACTTGAGAGTGGATTAAGAAGCAGAGGAGGCTGCTGCAGAGGAATAGCATTTTAGACTTTGGAAGAAGCAACTGGCTTCATCTCAGCTGGCGCTGGCGATGGCAGGGCAGTCGCAGCAGCTTTGCTTCTGGAAGGCCAGGCCTAGGAGGCCGGGGCAGCTCTGGGCAGCCGGGTTTCATCTCCTCCCTCTGCAGGGCCTGTGCACTTGCCGGGGTGCCTGGGGTGCCTTTCGGGGGGCAAGCCTTCTCTTTCTCATCCTCCCAGCACTCAGGTCAGTGGCATCTCCTACGTGGCGACGATCTAGGTTGCACCCCGTCTGGGTGGACGCCAGCCAGCACTTCCCTGCCTGCCTCAGGAAGCCCTCGTGCAGGTTTCCCACCATCCGCCACGCCTGTCCCCGTCTTTGCTCCTTGACCCTCTCTGGGTCCATCAGCTGAGCACACCGCATGCTTCCCCGAGAGACTCGATGGACGAGCGCGCCTCCCCTCCCACCCCCAAACTGTATTTAAGGTTCTTGCTTTGTCTCCCCTGGCCTGAAAGCCAGCTTCATGACAGAGGCCATCGCGCGGGCTTACTCACTGCTGCACCCTCCAGCCCAGCACTGTGCTTGGCACTGGGATGGGCCACATAATTTTCAGGGTCCAGTACAAAATGAAAACGGGGGCCCTTTGCTCGTAGATTATCAAGAATTGTAATATGGCAACAATAGAGCATTAAGCCAAATGTGGGGCACTTTTGAGTACGGGGCCTATGCGCCTACAAGGATCGCACACCCATGAAGCCCACCCTGTCTGACACCCAGGAAGCGCTCAACCAACCTTTGTTGAAGGAAGGAGTTAATGGATTAAGGGCAGGTATAGGGGGCATTGAGAGCCTGGACTGACAGGTGGGCAGAGGCCCAGCCCCGGGCACTGTCTCGCAGTCTAGAGCCTATGCAACAGGGCCTCCCTACGTGATACGAGTGGTTGGCACCTGCAGCCTTGCATTTCCTTCTCCTCGCCTGGCCTCTGGCCTGTCCTGTCTCCACCTGTGTGGTCCCTCAGGCTGCCATCTTGTCCAAAGCCCCCACAGGGCCACCTGGCAGAACCACCTGTGCTCCAGAAACGCTAGAAGACCAGGTCCCTCCATACCAGCTCTGGGAGCTTTCTCTAGCCCCCGGGTGAGGCCTAGCCAGAACCCCTCCCAGAGGAAACTCCATCCCCACATTCAGCCCTCGAGTTTCATCCCAGATGCCTATGCTGACACTCAGTCTAGCCCCTCTTGGGAACCACTGGTTTGTGGGTTTGCCTCTGTGGGGGCAGCCCCAAGAGGGGAAGGAGGCATGGCCGAACTTTTTACCCCACGGTCCTTACTGTCACTCTGGGCAAAGTGTCATTTTGATCCCATATTTACAGATGAAGAAACCAAGGCTCCGAAGAACAGGAATTCACTTAAGGTCCCACAGCAGGTTCCGAGCTGTCTGGGGACCCTGTGTCCATGCCCTGTGTGGTCACTATCATTTGTGGGATGAACAAATGAAGGGAGGAAGGATGGGAGGCCAGGAGCCACTGTCTGTCCAGTGAGGTCCCTGGCACAGACCCTTGGAGGTGACCTGGATGTAAACTGGATGCCTGGCGGGGCTGTAGGGGAAGGTCAAACAGTGGTGGGGCTGAGGCGGGGCGGGAAATAAACGGGTCCAAAAGAGAAGAAGGTGGGAGGACTTCCCCGGCGCACTCAGTTTCATTCATTCATTCACCAATGACTGTTCAGCCACAGTGGCTTCCAGGCCCCCCGCACAGGGCGACTGAGAAGAGCACCAGCCTGCGCCCCCAGGGCATTCCACGTCTAGTGGGGGAGACAAGACAATAAAGAAAGCCCTAATAACGCGAACAGTAATTCCAGATGGTGAGACGAGTTACGGAAAATAAAACGTGTGTGTGGGGATGAGGCAGGGAAGTGACCTTAGCTGTGCTGGTCTGGGAAGGTCTCTGGGAGGAAGTGGCACCGGAGTGGCACCCGGAGATGGAGGGTTGGCCAGCCTAGGCGCCGGTGACGGTAATGGTGTAGGGGTTAAGAGAGGGGAGAGAGTTCCAGGTAGAGGGAATGGCAAGTGCGAAGACAAGCTGGGGACGAGTTGGAGAGGCACAGAGGGGTCACAGTAGCTGGAGTAAAAGGGAGGGGCCGAGCGACAAGAGGGGCCGGGGGTCAACTCTTTTGGGAAGCCTTCTCGGATCTCCTTCGAACTCGCCCAGCTTCTTCCACCGCGGCCAAATCCCACGAGTCGGCTCAGGCCTCCTTCCCTGTCCGGACTGCGCGTCCCGGGAGGGTGGGGCCGGCTCGGATTCCTCCCACCGCATCCCCCCCTTCCGCCCCCGGCGCACAGTTCGGCGGTGGGCACCTTGTGGGCACTCGGTAAATATTTGTAGAGCGCACTAGAAGGAATGAATGAACCCATTGGGCGCAGCTGGGGGGAGGGCGGGGCCGAGGGCAGGTGGGAGGCCGCGGGCGCGGGAGGGGCCCCTGGAAGCCCGTCCTCCTCCTCGTCCTCCTCCTCCCAGGCCCCAGCGCGTACCACTCTGGGGCTCCCGAGGCGGCCTCTCGTAAGATCAAGGGCGCGCAGGGCCTGGAGCGCGACCCGGGGCCCCTGCTCTCGGCGCCGCCGTTCAGAAGAGAGTGGGTCGCCGCCGC